AACTGAGCCTTAAGGAAAAATCTATGGTGCATCAGTATGCAGCTAAAAATGTGAATCACATCTTTTAACGTTGTTAAAGTCTTAATGGTAAGTATATCTTGTAAAACACTAAAACGTAAATTGTCTGGGTAATCTTTGCATCTACAGCATTTGTTGCCAAGATTCAAGAAAGACTAGTATAGTCGTGGTTTTCTCAATTTATCAATGATTCAAAGAAGACAAAGGCAGTATTCATCATTTTAATAGTTAGCCCACGAACCATTGTCCAGGGGCTTAGCCCCCCGCCCATTTTCTTTCCCTTTTTCTTTTTTTCGCTTTCTTTTTATTTTCTTTCTTTTTCTTTTCCTTTCCTTTCTTTTCTTTTCCTTTCCTCTCCTTTTTTTTTCCTTTTTCTTTCTTTGTTTTTTTTCTATCTTTTTACATAATGTGTGCATGAGGCGCATGAGCTGTATGCCTCTAGCACGCCTCATGAAAAAAGCGTATGAAGTGTAAGCCTCAGAGGTGTCAAGCACCTCTGGCATACGCCTCCGAGTGTTTTGGGACGCCTCACACCTCCAAGCATACACTTCCCATACCTTTTGGTTGTATCATATCCTGAAGTCTCAACCATGTTGATGTTGTTAAGTACATATACTCAACAACGTACTAGATCTTTTATTCCAGAAGGGAGGGGCTTGCTAATTCTAAATAACATAATAAAGTTCTTTACATATTTTTATGTCACTCTGAGCATTTGGGCAGAGAGATAGATAATTTTTTTCTTTTATGAGTTCCTCCCGTCATTAATGAGGTGAGCTTAGGTTATGTTTGGTTTGAAGGAAACGGTAGGAAAACATGTACAAGATTTGTAAAAGTTTCCCTATCTTTCCCTTCCTTTTCCTATTTTTTCCTTCAAACCAAACACAACCTTAATGATTTCTCATTAGACTTGGGTATCAAAAGATACAAGAGTTTCGAACAAAACAAAAACTCTGTTTTCAAATATTTGAATATAGTGGTACCTTTCAAGGAATCTATGTTAACCCTGTATGTGATTCTACTGCAATTGAAATAGGGGAGTAGTCTCTTTTTTCGGATTATTTGTAATGGGCCATACATACATTAAAGGTGGAGCTTTCAATCTTTTGAACATTTTTACCATGAAAAACTGGTGTTTATAGATGATTCTAGAACAAGTTATCCTAGGCAGGATATGAAAAGTGACCAATTAGATTTTTCCATAAGGACATCTTGTAAGTAGAACAATCTTAGCAAACGGCTTGGTGAATTCTTAGATCAGAGTCCCATAAGGACATCTTGTAAGTAAAACAATTTTAAATGTGTAAATTTTGTGTATTGCTTTCATATCCCTTGTTTGTCTTCCCTTCTCTAGATATTGATTTATTTTCTTTTATCAAGCTTGTCATAGCCAAAGAATCCATTTATAAAGAGCCATTCTCTGTTCTTGACACCTGAATACCTAATAATCAGGGCTTAGGGAGGTAGGTGTGCATCCTAGTCTTGATTTGTTTGGGTGAGCAAGGTTTGAAGAAGTGAACTTGTATTGTATGATCTCAACTGTTTCCATGGTTCAAATTATAGATATGATATGGGGTGTATTTGGTGTATTGTATTGGATTTCAGGGTCACAGATATGCTAACACCCCTCCTAAATATGTACAGGCCCAATTTTCCGAAGTTTTTTCTCCAACTGTATCGCCCCTTTGAATCGTGTGTATTGATACTTTGAACCTTGATTATCTCACAGGCCTTGAAAGTTTCTTGGGATATCTGATTTGATGTTAACAGTGAAAGTTAACTTCTTGGATATACCCTTCAACTCTAAATAATCACCCAAACTGATGAATAACTTATTTCATGTCACAAAAAATATTAGATTGTATCCTTTTCCATAAATAATGTAAGGAGACAATGCCCACATGACTCAGATTGAAGCCTATATTATCCTACCTAAGAGATTTCCTAGTCAAAGATCAACTTAACTCTTAACATTTTTTATCAGTAAACATAACTCTAAATTAAATAATAATTCAAACAAGAACTGAATGGACCAATCCATTCCATGGACAGTCATGAAAATGATATAACAACGTAAGAAGAAACACCACAAGCTATGTTGCAAAGGTTCTTTAGACAATGGATACTAAAGCTAACCTGATGCAAATCCTCACACACTCTTATTTCCTGCTCTTCTAACCACCTTATTAATTTACCTTAAAATAATGCTGCCTCAGGAAATTTTAATTGGTCAAACCACTAGAGGCACATTTTGGGCATACCAAGGTACAAACTAAAACTGTAACTTTAATGCATATCTTCTCTGTTTACATGCATGGTGTATATGCATGCTTCCATGATAAAAAGGGCAGCCCAGTGCATGAGGCTCCCGCCAATGCAGGGTCTGCGGAGGGACATGATGTGTATGTTAATATCAATTATATTACTTTTATCAAACACTACTCTTGGAAATGTAGCACCAACTCTAGTCAATAAAGTCAAGAAATGATGAAATTGTAATGAAGTAAAAATATTATACATTGACATGAACTACAAAAGATTTAGAAAATCTATTTTACCTTCTGTAAAGTACTTTGTTTCTATCAACTTTTGATTTTTATGTTCTATTTATTTCCGTGATTATTAGTACCACTGCAGTGCTTAATATGCATTTACTCTGTATACTTTTACAAGGTAAAAGAGAGCTCAGCAGGATTGCTGTTGAGATTGTAACGGCTTGAGTTTAGCCTTGGTAGAAATTAATCTGTACATCAAATTAGGCAAATAAAATTACATAAAGTAGTGGTTTACGGGCCGAAATTTGGAGAGCAAAATAATTTCTTAAGTGAAAGTTCCAAGTGGTGATATCAGAGGTTAAACAATGTTTCCAATGGGTATAAAGTGATGGTGATGGGGGTTACAATTAGGACAGAACAAGCCTAAAATAAGTTGGCTGGTCTGAAGCGCATGACTGTGGAGTAGTATTCATAAAGCAAGGTGCCAACCAGTTGGTCGTAGCGGAGACTTAGGATCGAATCCCGCTTGCACCTGGGTTGAGGGATGGGCTACCCCCGTTGTGTAGCCCTTTAAAAGATATACGAAAAAACGAATAGTATTCATAAAGAATTGGGAGAGAATAACAAGAACAGGGTTAGTAAAGCATAAGCTTATTGGAATCAGCACCAGAAAGGGTCTCTGGATTTGTTGGAATCTCTCCAAACACCCCTCCAACTAACAATTCAAAAAACAATGAACCACAACGAGTCAACACTAGACTCCACACCCCGAATAGATAATAGAAAACCAACAAAAAATTGAGAAACAACAAGAAAGGACTCCAGGTAAAAACTTTCAAACTTTGCTTGATCTCTCTGCTCCTTCAGGCTCTAAATTGGGAATAACTTTACTCTTCAAATTCCCTTTCTTTGCTTTCTTCACCTTCTTCCTAGGTCTGCCCCCAAAAGCCCTCCTTTTAATCTTGCAAATAATTTAGAAACCTGAAAAGTGTGAATGTTCTTTTTATTTCTGAAACGCCTAGCTGCATTAGGCCTCTTATCCTTTCATCATCAGCCCCAGCAACTCCAACTGAAAAGTGTAAATGTTCATTAACTCTTTTATCATCAGCCCCAACAACTCCAACTAAACTCAGAATGCCTTTATCCTTATCCTTTTTTTTTTAACTTAATGTCAGCTTTACCATTCTCAGTCACAGGCCTCTTGTATTTTTCTTCCACTTCTTTAAAGATTTTCCTTGCAAATTCCTCTCCTATGAAATGCAAGCCCAGGATTTTATCCCTCTGCAATGCTTTAGTGTTTACGCCCAGTAGATGACTGGTAAAATTCATGTTACTAGGGCTATGGTGATCTGATTAATGAATAAAAATAATATCTCCCATGAAAATCAACCAACTTCACTATATGAAACAGAAGAAGAGATTATCTGACAACCAAGCTCTTAATCGGAAACAGGCTTCTGGTCTTAATATCCACTCGTTAGTCATTACCGTGAAATTTCCTTTTGTTGTCTTTTCCAATTTCCACATCACTTCGTGGCCATGTTGTTCAGATATGGCAAGCACATGGCAGGACATGGCTTTGGATGTGGAATTTATACTAAAATTTGAAGTATCCCACACAATATAGCACCCTTGTATAGGTATCCAGGTATCAAAGACTTATGGTACATTCCTTCTTTCCTAGAACCTACAATCCAGTTAGGCCATCATGAGAACGTAGCTGCTATATTGCCCTAACAGGGCTTCGTTTACCTAAGATCCTGAGCATCTCTATTTTAACCATAAGAGGAGACTCAGCAAACAATATAAAATGGTTGGAAGTGAAGGATAGTGGTCCATGGAGGTCGGGTCATCTCTTGTCTGAAGCTAGAGATACGGTGTCTTCAATGGATGTAAACTTTTATTGGGTCCCTATAGAGTTAAATTCTATAGCTGACGGGTTAGATAAATTTCATGCTCACTTGGATGTAGTGTATTGTGATAGATCTTGCAGGGTTCCCTGCTCCTTTGATTTGTACATTTTTCTTATGTACTCGTCTTATTTCTTTTGTATAATATAATCAGTTGCTTTCTCTCAAAAAGAAAAAAAGAAAAAAAAAAAAAAAGAAAAAAAGAAGAAGAATGTAGCTGCTATAACCATATCTCGAGGAAGACCACATGAGTTTTGAACACAGGAAAAGTGTAGAACTCTATATGTAGGTTATTCAAAACTATATTCTTATGCAAACTTCCAAAGGAGAGAAGTCATCAAGCTTACCCATCCTGTGGAGAATAAAATCCAAGTGGTCTAGAGACTCCAGCTCGTTATTCCACCCTCATTACTTATCCCTCTCCCTCTTTATCTTTATCTCTAACTCTACTTATTTCTCCTTGTACTTCATCTTATCTTATCCTATCTCAAGGTTGCCACTTGTACCAAAACTCCTGTAACATCCTTAAATACTGTTGAATATATTGAACGAAATATACAATTGACCTAGATTTTACATGGTATCAAAGCTGCAATTATCCCAGGCTCGATCCATGCCTTCCAGCATCCCTTCACAAATCCAAAATCTAGCTGATGCGTCAATGACCACCGATGACCCTAGAAGCCCATATTACCTTCATCATTTTGACAATCCGGGAATGATCCTTGTTACCAATGTTCTCACTGGTGAGAACTATGCTTCTTGGTCTCGTGCCATGAAAATGGCATTATCAGCCAAGAACAAATTGGGCTTCGTAGATGGGAGCATTGAGAAACCAGACAGCACCTATGCAAATTTTGGATCTTGGCTGAGAGCCAACAATATGGTCCTGTCTTGGATCTTAAATGCAATTCATAGAGATTTGGCACCCAGCATTCTTTATGCAGAATCAGCCCTCGATGTTTGGAGTGATCTCAATGAACGTTTTTCACTTCGCAATGGCCCTAGGATTTATCAGTTGCAGAGGTCTATAGCCACACTACAGCAACATTCTCAATCTGTTGCAGTCTACTACAACACCCTCAAAGGACATTGGGATGAGCTCACAACTCACGCACCACCACCATCCTGCACTTGTTCGGGTTCGAAGGAGTTTTCCACCTATCTTCAACAAACCCAACTTATGCAGTTTCATATGGGACTAAATGACACATACTCCAATGTTCGGTCCCAAATATTGTTGATGGATCCACTGCCTTCCATTAGTAAGGCTTGTTCATTAGTTCTGCAAGATGAAGCACATAGACTTGTATACTCTCAATCCAGCATCATTGAAGGAAGTGATTTGATTGCAAAGGCACCTGATGAGAAAACATCCACTGCACCTGAGAGGTATGTTATAAATTAAATGATATCCCCCTCACCTGAAAGGGAATCGTCGTGGAAATAACAACAAGCCACGACAGTAAAGCACAATAGATTTATCAGGAACCTCCAACAATGCCTCTGTTCCTTAGTTAACTCTCGAACAGTACGATAAGCTCATCAAGCTTCTTAATGAGGTTAAGTCTGGTCCCTCCATAGCAAACTTCGCAGGTACTTCTTGCCTTCTCTCACAAGCCTGGTCTAATACCAGCTGGGTCATTGACACTGGAGCCACCGATCACATGGCTTCTACCCAGGAAATTCTCAAGAACACACACACCCCTACAACAACCCTTGCACCCATCACTCTACCTGATGGTATTATTTCCAAAGCAACCTCCATTGGTTCTACTTCCCTTAATGAGCACATGCATCTTGATACTGTTCTTCACTTGCCCAACTTTAAATTTAATTTATTATCAATCAGTAAACTCACATGTGCTCTCAATTGTTCAGTCACTTTCTATCCTAACTATTGCCTTTTCAGGATCTCACAACCAAGACGGTGATTGGACGGGGAAGTGAACGTGGCGGCCTCTACTACCTTGACTGTGATCAGCCTAGCTCCAACCAACATAACCCACTTGCCTCCATGTTCACCAAACATCATGACCCCAAAATTTGGCATCAACGCCTAGGTCACTCTTCTGTGGCTCGTTTAAATAAGTTTTTTCAACTATTTCTTTCTCTACCTAGTATGAATTCGCATTCTCATTGTGATTTTTGCCCTCTTGCAAACCAAACTCGCTTACCATTTAATGCAACTACGATTTTCACTCATGCACCATTCGGACTTATTCATTGTGACAAATGGGGACCTTATTCTGTTCCCTCTCTTTCAGGTGCTCATTATTTTTTTTTTCTATTGTGGATGACTACACCCGTTGCACATGGGTTTTCTTAATGCGCTTCAAATCTGAAACCCTTTCCCTCTTCCATTTTTTTTCTGCCCTTGTTGCCAACCAATTTCACACAACCATCAAGTCCCTTCGTAGTGATAATGGACTTCAGTTCTTTTCTCAGCCCATGTTGGATTTTTTGAATTACCATGGTATCATTCACCATCATAGCTGTGTTGCCACACTACAACAAAATGGAGTGGTTGAACGAAAGCATCGCCACCTCCTCACCGTAGTTCGGGCTCTTCGTTTCCAAGCCAAACTTCCCCTTCAATTTTGGGGGGACTATGTTCTCACTTCAGCCCTCTTAATTAATTACACACCCACGCCACTAATAAATTGGCGAACTCCATATGAGCTACTCCATGAGAACCCACCCCGCATTGACCATCTTCGGGTCATTGGTTGCCTCTGTTATGCTTCCATTGGCCATTTGTCCCATGACAAATTTGGCCCACGAACGTGTCGCTACATCCTCATAGGCTACCCACATGGTCAAAAGGCCTACAAACTCCTTGACCTTGACACCCATAATGTTTTTACTAGTCGTGATGTGGTCTTCCATGAACATATTTTACCCTTTGCACAAGACTCCTCGTTACCGACTGCAAGCGCCCCACCAACCCTTCCCTTACCTGTCCCTAAACAAGCTTCTGATGGTAATGAGAGTTTACTTCGTACTAGCACTTTAAATTCCCCATCAGTTCCTGAACCACTTCAGACCTCATCTGAACCCACTACTATTGTTCTTGACCCTCCTGACCCACCTGTGCGCCGCTCCTCTAGAGACCACTAGGTACCATGCTACCTTGATGACTACTGCTGCCACACTCAGCAAAACTCTAGTCCATCACCATCACACACACCAGGTACACCATATCCCATTTCTCATTATTTGTCTTACTCCCGTGTTCACCCAAAACACATGGCCTTCCTTTCCTCAGTTGATACCCACCTTGAGCCTACATGCTTCTCCGAGGCTATCAAGGATCCACATTGGCGTGATGCCATGGCTTGTGAAATGAAGGCTCTTGAGACCAATAATACTTGGACAATCACTAACTTACCTCCCGACAAACATGCTATTGGGTGCAAGTGGGTATACAAGATAAAATTTAAGGTTGATGGTTCTATCGAGCGCAACAAGGCCCGCTTGGTAGCCAAATGTTTTACCCAAGCTGAAGGTATAGATTACACTAAAACTTTTGCACTTGTTGCAACAAAAATGGGTACAGTACGTTGCCTACTTGCAGCGGCAGCCATTAAGAATTGGCATGCCTTCCAACTTGATGTGCACAATGCTTTCCTACATGGAGATTTAGATGAAGACGTCTATATGCATCTTCCACCTGGTTTTGCACGTAAGGGGGAGCAACGTGTGTGCAAATTAAACAAATCCTTATACGGGCTAATACAAGCCTCCAGGAACTGGTTTGCTAAATTCTCTACTGCCCTCCTTGAGGTAGGCTTCTCCCAATCCAAAGCTGATTACACTCTATTTACTTATCAACATGGATCCTCGTTTACTATTGTTCTTGTCTATGTCGATGATGTTATCTTGGAAGGAAATGATGATTCTCACATATCTTAGCTGAAACAATTCCTTAATTCAAAGTTTCACCTCAAGGACCTTGGTCCCCTCAAGTATTTTCTTGGCATCGAAGTGGCCCAGTCCGTTTACTGGCATCTTTCTTTGCCAACGAAAATATGCACTTGATATACTTCATGATACTGGTCTCCAGGGTGCAAAGGTAGCAGATTTTCCTCTCCAACAACAAAACAAGTTGGACACCGATGATAGCCCCTTCAGGATCCAAGCCCGTTTCGGCGACTCATTGGGCGCTTACAGTATCTCACTATCACACGCCCGGATCTAGGGTTTGTTGTTAATCACCTTAGTCAATTTCTCAGTACTCCACGTACCGCTCATTGGCGTGCTGGTCTGCGCATTTTGCGCTACATCAAAGGAACAGTGGGCACTGGTATTCTATTGTCATCCTCAAGCAAGCTGACTCTTCAGGCTTATACAGATAGTGATTGGGGTGGCTGCACCGCCACTTGACGCTCCGTCACTAGGTACTGCATCTTCCTTGGTTCTAGTCCAATTACATGGAAATTTAAAAGTAGTCATTTGTATCATGTTCTTCAGCAGAAGCGGAATACCGTTCTCTGGCCCACACAGCTTGTGAAGTGCAATGGCTCCATTATTTGCTTCATGACCTCGGCATCTCCCTCCCATCCACCACCATTTTTTTGTGACAATCAGGCTACTATTTCCATGGCAAATAATCCAACCTTCCATGAGCGAACAAAACATATAGCATTGGACTGTCATTTTGTTTGCGAAAAGGTTCAAAATGGTCTTTTTCAGCCAGTCTACATTAATTCTTCCTCTCAAGTAGCTGACATTTTCACCAAAGCATTGGGCAAAGAAGCCTTCCAGCGCCTATGTTGCAAGTTGGTCCAATCTATTTTTGTTCCAGGTCCAACTTGAGGGGGAGTATTACGTGTACATCACTATGTGAAACTAACACAGCTGGAGACTCCAGCTCGTTATTCCACCCTAATTACTTATCCCTCTCCCTCTTTATCTTTATCTCTAACTGTACTTATCTCTCCCTGTACTTCACCTTATCTTATCCTATCTCAAGGTTGCCACTTGTACCAAAACTCCTGTAACATCCATAAATACTGTTGAATATACTGAACGACATACACAATTGACCCAGATTTTACAAATTTAGCTCATGTGTCATCAAACAGCTCAAGGCACATTGAATCAATAGAAGTACCACATTTTTTTTTGGCCATAACTTCTCTTTCACAGATTCCACAGTCATCTGAAAGCAGTGAGTATGGATACCAGATATGTTAGCATACACAACAGTTATGTACAAAGACTTCAACTACTATATTTAAAACGGAGGGAGAATCATTGAAGACACACTCTCAACATAGTTCAAACAGCATGCAAAAGCCATACTTTCACAGGTTCCACAAAATAAAGTAGGCAAGGATTATAATATAGAAGAAAATGAATAGAGTACATCCAGCATACCAAACTGGAAAAATACTAACTGATGGAGGATGATTTGACCCGACCTACTGAGATGATGACACGTGGACCTGACTCAGCACGAGCAACAGCTCAGCAGCCTGGCTTGACCACGACCAAGTAACAAGCCTGTAGAACAGCTCACTACGTCATAGCTCTCTATAGGGGGAGCTCGCTACGACGCGAACTCCAGATCCCCCGAGCTACTAAGAAGGGAATACTCCAAGATTATTTTAGCTCGCGAGCTAGGGAAACCAGCTCGCTCCAGCACCTCAGCAGCCTGTCTGCATTGGATAGTTTACCGTCCCCCTCACCATGGACGGAGTCCCCAGTTTGAATGTGCCTCTTACAGTGGCACCCGCCATTGCTCCGCTCCCTTCTACAGTAGGAGCAACCTCTGCTGAACCCTCGGTTGTGCCCCCAACGGCCAACCCGAACCAACTGGAGGACTTAGTGCAATGCATGCGGGCCATGCAGGCTCAAATGCAATAGTTTCAACTCTACCAACAGCAAGTGCTACATCAGGTTTCCCAGTACCAGTACCAGCAGTAGTTTCCCTCTCTTCCTCAGGCCCAGATGTCTTCCACCTCGGCACCCACCCACGAAACAGGCCAAGCCAACCCGTCGGAGTGAGTGGCCTCGTCGGGAAGAAGCCTCCTAGGTCCAAGATCCGGCCAAGAGCCACGCCTCTTCCCATAAGCAAGAAAGAGAGGCTGGCTGCCCCCTTGGCACCCGCCTCGCAGCCTGTGGGCGAGTCAGGGGCCTCTCACCCAACAAAGCCTGTGTCACCACAACCTTCGCAGTTCGAGCTCCCGTTAGCAGACAACCCGTTCGAAGTCCTGGCAGCGGGCTACAGACAGGGCCCTTCGGTCCAGAGTCGTCACCAGTAGTCCGAGCCTTTCAAGCTCGGCAACACCAAGGCGTCGAGCACCAACGCCGAACCAACAAAGCAGTAGCGAAGGCACCGGTGAGCTCGCCGAACTGCTTCCAGAGCCTCTCCCGAGCTCAAAGTAAAGGAGGAGGTATGCTCGGTTGAAGTGAAAGCTACCCCCCTCCTCTCGGTTTCTTCCCCGTTATCTCTAGAACTCCTTGTTGTCCCCATGCCAAAGGATTTCAAGCTCCCTCCTCTAGACAAGTATGATGGGTCTTTCGATCCAAATGATCATGTGGACGCCTTCCAGTCCCAGATGCACCTGGGACGGGCCAGCGAGTCTTGCATGTGTGTGGCCTTTTCCACTACTTTCAAAGGAGTGGCCCGCACCTGGTACCAAAACCTCGCACCTGGCTCGGTAAGAAGTTGGGCGCAGTTCGTGCAGGTTTCACCTCCCACTTCGTCACCAGCAAGAGATGCCCGCGAACTAAGGAGAGCCTCCTCGACATAGTGCAAAAGGAAGGGGAGTCCATCCAGAGATATATCAAGCGGTTCAGTGACGCTTGCTTGCAGATACCCGACCTGGATCCCGCAGTTCGCCTCACAACAGCCAAGCGAGGTATCACCCATAAGGAGTTCAAGTGGCACATAGTTGTCAACCAACCCAAAACCGTAACCGAGTTC